GGGGGGGCAGGGAGGGAGCAAGTGGAGGGAGGCTGGGTCCTCGTCCTGGGGGGAGTTCTGACACAGACTGGGGCCCAGGGCCCTTGGCCCCTCTTGGCCACACGGGACATTGGCGGTGCTTCCTTGGGGTGCAAGACAAAGGCTTAGGATCTGTTCAGACATTTATCGAGCACGCACCTGGGCCTGGGCTGGGCTGGGAGCCGAGCTCCCAGGTGGTGGGGAGGATGGACACACTGAGGGAGTTCTGTCCTCTGGGGAAGCACAGGGTGCTGGGGGCGCCCAGGTGGGCAGTGGGGATCAAGTGGGCTTCAGGAAGGCTTCCTGGAAGCAGCAAATGCTTGGGCAGAGCTGGGAACAGTTAGTAAGGTGAACCTGGCCAAAAAAAAGAAAAGCTGGAAGGGCGTTCCAGGCAGAGGGAACAGCATGGATAAGGCACAGAGGCTTGCCACAAACAGTCCATATAGAGGTGGGGCCCTAAAGCAGCACGGGCTCACAGGAGGGGAAATGGAAAGGTAGGAATTAGACAGGAGGGAGTTGGGCCTGAGTGCTGCACTGGGGTAGCAAGTCTTCATTGCCCTCTGGGTCCCCAAAGCCCTGTCCCTTCCCCCACAGGTCCCGGTGGCCGGCATTGAGGCGAACATACCTGTGACCTATGGAATTGGCAGCCAGAGGGGAGAAGAGAGCACTGGCTGTCAATTCATAGGTCAGAGCCCTGTGCACTCGGTCTCAGGAGCCCGCTGACGGCCCACTGGCCTTGGCCATGCTGGGCCTGGGAGCGTGGCCATGGAGGTCCCTGCTGGTCTGCTGGGCAGCAGCCACCTCTCCTCCTCCGTGCATACTGGCCCCCATCCCCAATAACAGCAGCCCCACTGGAACCAGTGGGCACTTCCACATGGAGTTGCTGTTACAGGGGGTGAAAACCGGCTGGAGGCCTGGGCCCTGCCTGCCTGGTAGCTGCCCTTGGGCAGAAGTCTGGGGAGGACCTCATGCCCACCCATCGGGTCCATGGTCTTTTTATTGAGGCTCCTTATCATCCGGGGCCCACACCTCGAGTCCCTGCACCAGCCCCCCCCTTCTCTGGGCGAAGTCCAGGCTCAGCCCCAGCTCTGCTCATAAAGCCGGGAGTGGCTCTGATTTACAGCTCCCGGGCAGCCTTTGCCCACTCTGCCACCCCCACGCCCTCTGTCCCCAAGTTCCTTGTTTCCTCCTTTCTTTCCCAACCAGAGCGGGGCCTCAGTTCCAGGTTGGGCCACGGCGGCCTCCACCCTCTGCCCTTTGCCCACCCTTCCTGCCACAACCGCAGGGCAGAGGGACAGCGAGGGACAGCTGGGCATCTGTCAGTCTCCAGGGCCCAGATTCCTGGGGATGGCCCCAGATGAGAAGCAGGAGGCAAGACTGAGAGGGGTGGGGGTGCAGGGGGGAGACAGAAAGTAGGAGAGTGAGGCAGAGAGGCCAAGAGAGAAGCAGATGTGGAACAGGAGGGAACTGGAAAGGAACAGAGCAAATAGGGACAGAGAAAGGTGAGGGGGGAGGCAGGGGGAGAACAGGGACCTTGAAAAGATGCTGATACACAAACCTGCTGCTGACCGCATGCTAAGAACAGGGCTGTCACAACCACCATCGGGAAGAACACTTATCACCTCAGTGGCCTGAGAGCCAGCAGGGGTCTGGGAGCTGGGTGACCTTGAGCACGTGGCTTAACCTCTCTGAGCGGTTGGCTGGTTCCTCACGTGCAAATCCGGGCCTGTGAGGCCTGTCCTGCCCTCTGGCTTGACTGGTGGGAAGCCACCCTCCCTTCAAGCTTTGGTTCCATCCCCGCTGTGGGGAGTGGAAGGGGCTGCTGGCTGTGGTCCCTGAGCGGGCCCAGGACCCCCAGAGGAGTGGACTTTTCTCCTGCAAAGTGTGTTTGCACCCACCCTCCCATTCCGCAGACAGGATCTGGCCCAAGAGGTTTCAGTGACAGGTTCCAATGCCAATCCCACCCCCACCTAGGGGACATTTTGGAGAACCCAAAACTTCTGGAGGGGAGAGGGGACCTGGGACTCTGAGCCTCGAGAGTGGACTTGGGTAGTGGAAATGCCCAGAGAGGCAAAGGAGGCTGCCCAAGGTCACAAAGCAGGGCCTTGAGGTCCGTCCTGTCTGGCAACTTCTCTGCAGTGGCCTCCTTCCTCTTGGGATGCAGTCAAGGTGGGATGGGAGGTCCCTGGGCAGGAGTCCTTTGCCTGGGAGGACAGGCGTGTGAATGAAGACACCATAGCAGGGGACACCTCCCACTCGCTTGAACCCAGAAGGCCCTCCCGAAGACGCCCAGGAAAGGCTAAGCGCCAGGCTCGGCGGAGGCAGTGGTGGTGGCCGCCCAAGCAGGAGTCCCGGCCCTCTCATCTCACAGGGGGAAACGGGGGCCCAAGGCTGGAAGGGACTTGCGTGGCTCACCTGGCAGCTGCCTAGGCCCTTTCCTTTCTTCCTCAGAAGGCCTGGGGCCCCTGCAGCAGGCGGCTGGGCTCAGGGGATGTGGGGGTCTGACTGCCCGGGGAAGGCTCTTACCTGGGTGCCTGGCTGGCCCTCGGGGCACAAGGAGGAAGTAGGGGCACCCTGGGCCCAGTGCCTTTTGAGCCGTTGGCCCAGCCCCTGGCGGTGGTTAATGATTATCCTGTTGCCTGTCAATAGGGATCGCAAGTGTGGTTCGAAGGGCATGGAACCCTGGCCTGTGCCCAGGCAGGGTGGGGCACTTCTAGGAAGCACCAGGCTGGGCCACCCCCCCCATCCCCTCCGGTGGCATCAGACCCCAGACCCCAGCCACCCGCACCCTGTCTTCTTCCACTGGCCCCCCGCCCCGTCCGTTTGGCTGACTGCCCCAGGTGACCATGGGCGGCCAGGACCCCCGGGATCCACCTGGACAAAACTCCTGCTCTGTTCACTTGGTACCCAGACACAAAGGGGACAGCAAGGACACAGAAGGGACCAGGGGGATCTTTGCTCCCCCGAGAGAGCTGTAGATGACCCTGGCAAGTGAGGGTTCTCTAAGTCTGTGCCTCTTAACCTGAGCCTCAGCTTCCCGAGGTCCACCGCCCACGTGCTTCGGCGCAGTGCTACCGGGGAGCGAGGTGGGTGGGGCATGCTCAGATTAGCCCCTCGATCTGAAGAAACAAGGTATGTGTGTGTGTGGGGGGGCTGTAACGGGGTTTTCCCTACCCCATGGCAGGAGCCCTGCTAGCCAGTGCCGCCCCAGCACCCCTCCCCGTCTAGTGCCCTGGAGCTGGGACCCCAGGGCAGAGGCTCCGATCACGGGACAAGCCTTCTGCCAGGGATGGCAGGAGCAGCCTCCAGGGGGCGCAGCCCTCCAGGAGTGGTGCCCGGGTAGGGATCACCAGGAGGGGCCCGAAGCTCAGAGACCCCGGGTGTAGCCTCAGACCACATGGTCAGGGTCTGAACCTTCTTGGGGCACCCCACAGCCTGACCCTGTGCTCCGGCTCAGTGTCCTCCTAGCTGTCCCCTCACCCCTGGCCCTAGGTAAGGCT